TTTTTATTTTCTCATTTGTTTTGATTCTTTTACTGCTGGAAAAGCAACATGTTTTAATGTTTCTTGTTACATATCGTACTGGTAGTTTTGAAAGCAAATTTTATTTATAGGGGAGGGGCTGATATACAATAAGTCTTTGGCAACCTATGTTGAAATGAATAAAGATTTTAATCTATTCAATTGAGGTATTTTTTTTAAAGTTGATTTTTTACATTTTAAAAATATTGCTTGTAGCAGATATTTGTGTTTTAATGTATAATAATATATATTTCTGGTACTGTAGTTTTAAATTTTAGAATATATATATATATATGTACTCAGCTTTAGGTGATTACTGCCTTTCATCAGTGGTTCCCAAATTGTCTCCCATCAAATCCCACTTTGAAGGACATCACACCAACCCTTGAAGATAAAATAGCCCCAGAACCCTCTTTACTTACATCACTAAAGATTGCTGATTAAAAGCTAATTCTTAAGAATTGTGAAATATAACTGCAGAGAAATGTTATCAAATATTTCAATAGAGCTAAAATGTTCATTACAATAAAGAAAAAATGTTTTTGCCCATCACACCATACCTTATGTTTTGCCTACCAATAAATATTTATAGGTTATTTCCAAATCATTATATTTTTCTTTATGTTTTTTTAAAAAGAATTGAGTTAACCCATTTGTATATCTGTACCCGGTCCTTATTAATTTTCCCAAAAAAGTACTTACGCCCTACTTAGGGTCCATTTATTTATTTTTGTCCATGAACGCCATCCTCCACAATCTAAAAGTTCAGCCAGGACCCCCAAGCGGGTGACACAATCCACCTGGGAACCACTGATATACATTATCATAGTTACATTTGAATAATGTCATTGTTCGCAAGTAGTTTTCATTATAAAATGCGTAAAGGTTTTCACCATAATGAGATTTTATATAGTTTTACAAATTCATAATTATACCTGTCGTAACTGCAAACAAAAATAACAGAGCTGCTAGAAATGGTTAATAGCTAATTTGGAATTTCAACAATTAGGAATTTTGAACTTACAAAATAAATTATTTTAGGCAGATTAAAAATTGTACAATTGCGTGTTATTTTTATTGTGTCACTCAGATTGTAAATACAGTTTAGATTAAGTAAAATTCTCAATATTTTTTTCCAAGTTTTTTCAAAATATTTCAGTAAATATTTATTTGCTCATATTCAACCATCTTATTGATGTTGATTATGCTTACTTCATAATAAGAAATTATTTTATATTTTTAAAATTACAAAACATACTTTTCGAGCCAACTCAAATGGAAGTACCATTTCTTTTAAACAGATTTCAATACAATTTAAAATTTAGCTTTAAAAAAAAACACTTTATTTATATCATGAGTTTCCTTGACATCATGATAAATTAATAAATCCACGCCAGTGTCTTAATTAATTACCGGTAATGCTAATCTATAAAAGTTGAAACTGATAAAATGCTACTACTACTAATAAGGGAAAACAAATTTCTTTCAGGTTTGGTTTATGGACACACTGGACATGTAAGATTTTTAACAAGTGTGGAAATAAGCAGCACTGCAAGCAACAAGGCTGAGATAACCAGAGAAGGGTCAGGAGAAGGTGCTGTTGTGGAACGAACTGCTGCTTTCTCATTTCAGGACATTCACCGCAGGTCAAGTATGGCCGCAACAACGGCTACAATGGCCAGCCGCATGTTGGTGATCAGTGGAGGGGATGGCTATGAAGATTTTCGTAACAGTGCAGCAAATGAAGGAGCTGGCCGAGATGACAGTACTAACCATCTTTTACTGTGGCAAGTCTGATTATAACAAGGACTAATGAAATAAATTATTTTAGATGTCGCTTAAAGCATTCAGTGAAATGTGTAACAAGATTTGAAATTAGTAATGGCTTATTATTTTAAATTTTAAGCAAAAAAAAGCAAGCATGTGGTGGTTATACAGTTAAATTTATAATTTATGTGAGCTCACAGATTAAATTTTTTTGTCAAATTATGTGACTAGAAATCTCAGCAATTTTTTTAATAATTGTTTTCAGCCATTAACAAAATTTGCATTGATTATTCACTTTAGGTAAAAAATTATTTAGATACTAAACCAAATAAAATTCCTGTTGGATCCTTTTTATTTATTGCAATTAAGTAAAGCTCAAAAAGTTGATAATTAGTTAAGTGTTGTTTTTTTTTCAAACCTAAAACCAAAATCAGCTATTTGATCCAACCAATAATGATAAAAGCAAATTAATGATGTTTTGTATTATTTACCAAATGAACTTCTGTTAAATCAACCTTGTCTAATCAGGTTACAAAAATAAGGCTTGGCTTTATTTCATATTTTTAAAATACCAACATTGACTTTTTTTGTAGTGATGATTTAGTGATAAGGGGCCATCCATTTAGTAAGTATGCACTGAAAGGGGGAAGGGGCGGCAGACCTGTTTACCCTCAAACTCTTAAAATCGTACAATATCATCAGAAAATAGTTCATCTTAATACCGTAGTAAAAAAACAAACATACAGTAAATATAATGGATACACCTCAATATCGTACATTGTACACCAAAATCTTAAGAGTAAACAGGTCTGGGGTGGAGTTGTCAATTTTGCATACACATGCTCGAGGGCAGTGTGGCATTGCTGCATATATTTTGGGAACCACTGGCTGAGCAAACAGTTAGGGATACTAACCTGTGACACATTTTTTTATTTCTTTGATATCACAAATATCTATAAATTATTTGATTTTGTTGGTCTTTTGAGGGGGTGTCTAATGCTTTTTGTATTAATGGATTGGGGGGGGGGGTGAGGGTGGTGGTGTCCAAAAAAAGGTAAAGGTTTGTTTTTTTTCCTTGAGAATTTGAGTTTTTTTTGCCTACAACATACTAAGTGGGATGGCCCCTAATTGTATTTTTAATTTAGTATTGAAACATTTACCAGAGTATATTTATACCATTTAGTATTGCAAACAATGTGAATTGTAAAGTGTTCCATTTTTTATATTTTGACTAGGAATTATTTTTTTATCCAAAGTTATATATTTATTTTATATTTAATTTAACTACATTACATATCTAAAGATCAAGTGTTAAATTGAGACAGTATTTTAAAACTAAGCATTTTCTATCCTTGGGGATGAATAAAACAATATTATACACCTGTACAATATAGAATTTATCAAGACTTCATGTGATTTCTGCAACTGTAACAAGTGAAGCCCTATTCAAACTTTAAACTGCATGGTCAGGACATGTTTAAATTTTGGCTTGATAAGTTGGTTATAAAAGTATTAACATTAACTTCCAAATCACACTGAATCTCATTACCGGGTACTGACATACTCATTTTTGTTCCTCATACCTACTTATCCAATAGATATGAGAGCAATGGCATTTAATGATTGTAATTTTTTTAATGGAATTTATTACTGAGATACCGTAAGGGCGCATTTCCAAATAATATTCATCTGTTTGGAAATTAAAATGCCTTATGTCACTTCTATAAAAATGGAAGTTGTAAATATTTTGACAGAATTTGGTGATATATCTTATTTATGAAATGTTTGTAATGTCCCCTGAACAAATCTAGATAACATAAAGCATTTTTAATAATGTACAGGTTGTAAAAATCTGTTTTTCATGTTACAAGCATTGAAAATTGATTGCTCATTATAGAAAATCTTTAGTTTTGCCCACTTGTGATACAGGAGTGAATTTAGAAAAGAATATGGTCGCTGCTTGCTTCCATTTATAAATAGCTATAAAATAATGGCCATTATACAAAGAAGAAATTACTCGCAGGGCTAATGTCATGTTAACTTGTATGGAAATCTTCCAGTTTTTGTTTTTTTAATTGATGAAGACAACTATTGAACGGTTTGTGATATTTTAGATAAGAGACATATTTAAGCTCTATTTGCCCTACAGCAAAAAGTGCCTTCAAATTTGCTTTTTTAATGTATTTAGTATGCACATCTATTTTTATTTCGAATACGAAGAAAGACGGATAATTTATTTTTTAATGTTTTATTTTACATTTACAAAGTCTGAAGTAGTATTTAAGTGTGCACAGTAATTGATATTAACATATTTCCTTACATCAACCCACAGAACTAATGATACAAATGATTGCTCTTAAGCAATTTCAAATGTCTGCCTATATGATGAGGTTCCTGTACTTTTAAAGTATATGCTGTGTTCTGAAATCATGATCAAAGCTCGAATTATTCTAATACTACATTTTAGCAATTACTTAGTTCAAAAAAAATTTTTTTTAGCAATATAACTCACACAAATTATCAATTGCCAAGTTTTGGTGTTATAATGGAAAGAAAAATTATTTTTTTTTAAATAACTAAATATAAAAAATAATACTATTTTTACCATTTTGGTGCACTAAATCAAATTCCATTTAACTAATCTACTAAGGCTAATTTAATTAACCCATTATAACAGTGTTACATTCTCCCATCAGAGAACTCCCACCTTCATTAAGAAAAGAAAATGTAAAGCAATGTTTCTTAAAAGATAATTAACGTTGATTTCCAAGTTATTATTTTTGTACACTTATGTATTTAATATTCTTGAGCTTGATAAAAAAGCTGTGTAAATATTCATTTGTATTTAAGAGTAAATATTTCTAACAAAACTGTAGTGCAATCTTTACCTTTCTTGGTAATATTTATGTTTTAAAAAATTATTTTTATGTCCATGTGCTAGCTGTATCACAGATGGTTCACCTGTAACCATTGGTGTATATTGTAGTCAAGTCATAGACTGTTTTGAAAACTAAGATAGTGTACAAGTTGTTTGTATGTAAATAAATTAATGATGTGATTGAAGGATATGTTTAACTCCTTATGCTACATTACTAAAGTGACAAGACATTAAGTGAATACTATCCTGTCAAAGTAGCCTCAAATAAAAGAAATAAGTGGTGTATGAAAATGTGTGCGAATACCTGGCAGTGGGAGTTGGGATATGATAAACTGCCCATATAAAAAGGATGGATTTTTAATAAATGTATTGAACAATTTAAGTTTGAGCATAAATTTGTAGTCTGACCTGAGGAAGTATATACTTTTATCACACTGACAGTCAAAACAAACACACTGAAAACAAATAATTTGAGGAGAACCAAGAGCCTTATCTTTTTAGCTTTAATTATTCATATCAGGCATAATTTATGTCACTCCAGTAATGTCTGGGGAGAAGAGAAGAATAAAAAAAGTCAGAGCTTAATATTAAACAGCACTCAATTCATCAAAATCATCCCAAAATAAACATGTTAAACTAAATGCAATTTTTGTTTAAAAGTATGTTGAAACAAAAAAAAAATTACACAAAGCCCTTGACAAAAAAAAAACTTACACAAAAAAAAAAACCCCACCCCTCCTAAGTAATTTTACAAATGAGGTTTTAACTTTTGGAAACAGCAAGGCATATTGTAAAAATTATGTACATGCCTGATAATGAATGGGTGTGCAACCAACATGTATTTTCAAAATTAGTTAAATCATTCCCAACACTGTTGCTACTTAATGCGCCCTTTGATACTTGGGACGGATGCGTCCAAATACGACCCAGCGCATAGCAACACACCTCTCTTTATGTTTAATTAAATGCAGCAATGAAATCTCACGTCCCTCGAGACTTCCGGCTATGGTTTGATTCTGCATGATTTTAGTTTAAAAACCGGAAGACTTTAAAACTATGTGTGCTTTCGTACGGCGCGTCTACATCTAGTACGAGTTCGCCAAGGTGCCAAAAATCGATTTTTTGACTCTGTTATAATTTAATTAAACCTTATTGTTTGATGCATTCGTCTTAATTCATTAACATCTATTAATATTTAGCAGCTTAAAAAATATTTAAAAAATGTAAATCAATTTCAAAACTGAGTTGCTTCCCTTTCCTCAGGAAAATAAATTATGTACTGCTGGAAATGAGTTAAAGTTAGGCTTTTTGGTACACTCAATTGAATTAGAACTGATCATTAGATAAAGCCTCACCCATCACTATGCAGGAACAGAGCCAATAGCTGGGGTTGGAGCATCTGTTGGTTTACCACCCTTGGCTTCACTGTAGGGCTGTGCTGGTGCAGTTTCTTCTTTAGGCTCCACGATACTGACATGATCAGGCAGCGGACGTCTTGGACCCATCTTTCCAGTAGGATCCCAGGGCAACATAATTTTCACTTTGATACCAAGAACACCTGACAAGAATAACATTAAAATTAAGATCCAACACTGACATTTTAAGCTCTTAACAACAAAAGTTGTGACTGATCTTAAATCTTGACAGTCCATTTTTATTTTGTCTCCTGGAAATAATGAAGGAAAGTTCTAGTCCATTACCATATGAACTAATTCAGAAGTGGAGGGGTGTATGTAAATAGTACATTAACCTAAAACTTCATCAAAATATTGGGGTCTGAAGAAAACATACACCGCTATCATAAGACCAGAAAGACTTGGTTCTTTACCATAAAATCACCATAAAACCAGAGAACGTGCTCAATACATGGGAGAGGAAAATCCTTTGGAAAATTTTTGGCCCAGTGATCCACTATGTATTGAAAACCCATACAAAACAAAAGCTATATCAAGTGTACACAATTTTAAAAAAAGCTTTGTACACCAAAAGACCAACCCATAGATGCAACAATTAAATCGATCCCAAAAGGATGTAGTGGAGCAGGCATGGGCCCTACAAGGGCTGTAGCCCCACTGATGATGATGATGAAGTTGTATTTCAAAACAAAAAAATTTCTTTTCAGCAATGCACCAAACATCTATAGAATAACCTTTACTTCTAAATGCACACCTAGCTGCTTAAACAGGTTATATTTCACGATGAAATTTAAATTATTGTCTTAGATTTAAACCACAAGAATTCAAAATATATAATACAAGGAATAATGTATTAAGGGCTCAGCCCTTTGACTCACAAAATTGTTAATAAAATTTCACATCTTTGTTAAACAATTCTTAATGACAAAGAAAATTGCTGCTTTACTCCCATACACAAGACATCACCAATGCCAATTTGTAAAATGGCCACAAAGAAAGTAAGCAAAGGGAAGATTACATTAAAAAAATTGCTGCCACTGCATTAACATATAATACTGGTTTACAAAATAAACTGACATATACATATTAACCCTTTACAGTCCAAGCCTATTCCTAGCAAAGTCCATTGCCCAAGCAAGGGGACATATTTCCATTTTAAATGATGGTTCTTTTTCTAATTAATTTACAGAAAACAAACTAGAAGCAAGAAGAGAAAATAAAAAATACCTAAATACAAATAAATGATTTAAGCAAAAGTTAAACCTTAAAACAGTTTCAGGGACCCTCCCACTTTGATTTGTGAAACATTCCCAGACCACTCATGATCTTACTGATGGACTGGAATTAATAGGTCCGTTGTCATCAATGTCTCTACTATTACCTTCTTCACTTGAATCACTATTACTAGTAGCATCTTTTAATTAATGTCTCATCAGATTCTTCACTATCGCTGCTAGACTCATTAAATAATGAAGCTTCATTAGGCCTAAGTTCTTTCAAAATAATATCCAAGGCTTGGAAAGCCATTTTAACTGCGAAATCGCAAATTTAAAAAAAATAGTAGAAAATGAGCCCCAAAACACACAGCGGTCAAACTAATATCAAAATAAATGCAGACAACGAGGCTTTCTTTCAGTAGAATTATAAATAGTAATGCACAATGGATTTCCGCTGAGCTAAGAATGAAAGTAAACAACCTCCAAACAGACGGGTTTGGCTGCAACTGACTGTAGGCTTAAGGAAAAAATTTGTACATTTCTGGTGCATCTGACTGTAAAGGGTTAATTTGGCTAAGTGTGTGGACATTTTTTTCTTAATACCTGGTACATGGAATAATCACTACATTTCTCAAAAAAGCAGAGCTATTGGCTCCATAAAATAAGCTGTCAAGTTTAACCTCTTAGTCCATTCATAACAAGGAAAATCCTAATTTGCATACCTTGTCTAAGCAGCACATGTCTAACAGCTGTATCAACATAGTCATTGAGTGGTTCACCACTGTGAATCATGAGACCATCTGTAAATTTCATGGATTTGGCCCTCTGACCTCTCAATTTACCAGACACCACCACCTCGCAACCTTTTGCTCCTGACTCCATTATAAACCGCAAGACACCATAACAGGCCCTGGAAAGCGGAATTGCAATATTATTAATAGGAACTAGCAAACCAGAATTACTTCAAAAAGAAACAACCTGTTAACACACTCCAACATAAACTACTTTTGATGAAAACCCCACACAAAGAAGAGCAGCAACGCCATTTGAAATGTTTAAAAATACGAAGTGTCTACACGCCCGGCGCGCCGGACAAATGGTGCGCAAGATATACGTCCGGCGGTTATGTCACGTGATCGCCGGACGGCTAGTAGTTTGTATAATTCCGAACGAAGTTTAGTTAGGCAGATCTTGCGTGGTCTAATGGTAAAGTGGTCGCTTGACGATATTATGATTTGAGGATCAATACCGGGGATAGGATCGTTTTTTTTTCTCCCCTTTTAATGTAAAATATTTTATACTATATTTATATAATCATGTTCATCAGCAACAGTAGTTTCATGAGAAGTTTTTAAATATTTTGTAACAATTTAAATGAAATCTTTACTTTTATTGGTCGCCTACTCCACACTGGCCCCTAATTTATTTTATGGATTACTGGTGCACAAACTCAAATAACAAACTAAACAAAAATGTTTACAAACCACTTTCACTTAAGTTTTGTTCTATTATTTGCATGCAAGATACTCAGTACATTACTTGGTAGAAAAATAGATTTGAAAATTAACAATAGTTTTTAATTATTCGCAGTCACGTGACAAGGCCGATCGACAAGATATCTCTCGCCACTTTGTTACGGCGGTGACTTGGTCGCTGGACAAATAGTGTGGGAGATAGACGTCCGGCGCGACGTGTAGACACTGCCTTAAAAATAATTAATATTTATATTTTAAGCCAAGGTTAAACTCTTAAAATATTAAAACCTTATATCCACAACTCATCAATATAAAATAGAATCAAGAAAAATTCATGAATGAACTCCCCTTCAATGTGTACACATTCTTAACTGTTAACATTTTTCATAAATTGATAGGTTTCAGCTTTTAAATGAAAATTATTATCAAAAGTTTATTTTGCACTAATCAATAGCAAAATGAAATACAATTAAACAAAATAATCCAACCTGTTATTAAATTAAAAATAATACCTGACTGGACAAAGTTATTGAGATTTCAGAGTATGCTATTTGGATATAACAAGTCAAATTATTAAAGAAACTAAATGTTACCTCCTGACAGCCAGACCACCAATCAATTTGTATCTCAGTGATTCACACTGAGCAATGGCACAGAGACCTCTAGTGGCAACTTTCTCAGCATACAGCTGAAAATAGTTAAAATAATTAAATTGCAGACAAAATCTACTTAAAATTTAGCGGATTCATCTTCAGTACATCCCAAAATACCAATCACTGGTAGAGTAAAGCAAAGCATTAAGTACCATAAGCCTAAAACTACTAGCAATCTACGTTTTCCCTTAAAATAACAAGTACGTGACTGCTATCTTTACATTAATAAACCAATGCCAACAGGTTAACGTAAAAGAAAAATAAATTAAAAACAGGACGCTTATCTGATTTACCTCAACAGTACCCTCAGGAAACCCAAATCTTTTCTGAACAACAGATGTGAGTTCACGGATTCTGCGACCTTTCTCTCCCAGAACATTCTGAGTGCGTGTTGCAAGGATAATAATTTCAGTACGAGTAGGTGTTACTCGAACTTCAACTCCACTGTACCCATCTTCTGCAAGCTCTCTTGTGAGGAACTCATTAAGCTCAGCCTTGAAAATACCGTCTGTGACAAACTGAAAAGGGAAAAAATTTAATGTTAATCAAAACTATTACTATAAGCGAACTAAAAAAATTTAATAGGACCTTTTATAAGGTAAAAATTTCCTACGACCCTCATAGTGATTGGTTGATGTGACCTCATGCAACTAAGATGGCGGCAGTGTTACTTCTAAAATGGGGAGGGGAAAGAATGTGCTATTAGCAATTAACCGAGAGAAAAGAAATGGGAACAAAACTTTAAAATTTAATAATTTCAGCCATTGAAATAATTTCGCCGCAAGCGAAGCTACTTTACTGTCTAGATACACTGTAAGAAGACTCAAGAACCCGTGGTTGCCCCCTTTCCTGGTGTTAATTCGGCCAGTACATTAATTTCGTGGCGAACGAAGCTACTTTATTGTATCCCTCTCGATATGCGGCAAGAAGTCTCAAAGACCTGAGGTCGCTCCCTTCCCTCAACTAAAATGTGAGTGTGCAACAGTTACACACTGATAAGGAAAGTGGAAAAATGAAGAAAAACAATACAAAATTTTTAAATAGTAAAAATAGCCTAATGAAAACCAAATGTTTCATCAAATACAGTTTACTGTGCAGATTCCATTAGACATAATATATAAAAGTTGTCAGAAAAATCAACAGTCAATACAATTCCTCCATTTTTCCAAAATGCTGGAAAATTTTTAAATATAACTAGCATCCCAATGAAATTATAATTTAAAACTAAAAAAAAAAAAAACCCAAGAATGAAGAAAAAGGGAGAGAATCCTGGTAATCCTACGTGTGGCTACAGTTACAGTGGTGACAATCATGGTGCACTGATCCAACATATGCATTAGCCATTAGCTGGACTAAAGGAGGACGAGTGCCTTCATTTCATACTGCTATGGCAAGAGCAAAAAATTAAACCAGTAAAAAATAAAAAAATATATTCTAAAACTAAAACATGTACTGTACTGAAAAGTCAAGTACCTGCAGGTGACAACTCTATAATTATTATTTAAGTCCAGTGTCCATATTCACATGCTCAAATAATCATGTTTGTTTGATGGTTAGGGATACACAAGACCTATCCATTAATCTTAAATGTCATCTTACATATCAAACTTTAGACTGCTATAGATTACTTGGTTACACTTGTCACTTGGTATACCACTTTATACTTTATTCAGATCAAAACAAATAAATGATAATGCTTAACTTTGTAGCAATGAAAAGTAACCGATGTCAAAATATACATAAACTATAAACAATGTATACTGCATACAACTTCTGTAATTCTGAAAATATGGTTAATTTTGTCATTGAATGGGCTAATAACCAGAATTTAAAATAAATAAAACTGTTAAACCTATTATCGACACTAAAAAGGAAAACGATTTATCGGACTACAACATCAGCTTCATCTCAGGTAATCTGTCGATATAAGCATAGTTTAAGAATAACTTTAATATTTATAATCACAAGTAGGTGTATTAAATATTATATTTATGGTATTGGTCACTTATTTCTGTAATAATTGCATAAATACCTTTCGCTTCTTTGATAGTTGGGTCGCCATGATTATTGACTCTTCAAAAAGGAAAGGGCAAACCCGGAAACGGAAAAGCCAGAATGATTTTATAAATATAAAGCATGGAGGAATTTTTTAAAATGTGAAGAAACAAATTATTATTAATGAACAGAATTATATTATTCGTCAGGAGACATAAGTTCGAGAGGGTTGAAATGTTGTGGTTTGTTATCAAATTAATAAAAACAAAAATAGCATGCGCACTGGGATGAATTTAGCAAACGAGAGGCTCTAGCTATTCAAAATTTGAGGTCCCATGCAACCCCGCCCCCCACACACACAATTATTTTGAGAAGAAAAAAAACAACACTTTTGACTTAAGCCGCACACAATTTAAATTTAACTTTATAAATATGAACAATTTTATATTTAATTAGCAGATTACATCTACCAAATGAATAACATTTTTTGTAGCTGAAATGTAGTTAAAGTGTGTGGTGACCAATAACCGTAAATAACATGAGCACTTAAAATTTAAAAGTCTTTTATTTCGTTTAAAACAAATAAGGGCCCCTTAGGAGAAGTTGCGTAGCTAGGGTTAATGGCACCAGGGGTGGGCTATGATTTTTTCGCCGGCTAACCCCCCCCCCCCCTCCCCCAATTGTTACAAAACTAATTATTACACTCGGTCAAAAAAGGCCACCTCTTCAGATATAGAAAGGATCGTCTGATCAGTGATTATTTCAGAAATTCCCCCCTCCCCGGGGGGGGGGGCCTTCAGGGTTGTTTTGTTTTTTTTTGGGGGGGGGGGGGAGGGCCAGTTCATTTATTGTTGGCAATATTTTTGCTCCCGGGGGGGGGGGACCCGGCTTTCCCCGTGGGGGGGGGGCAGTACCCTCCGGAGATATAGCTGAAAGGAACCCTGCGTCTCATCCCACTGAACTAATTTCTCACATATGTTGGTGGATCGTCTGATCCCATTGAAACAATTTCGAACAATTAACGTGAAGTCTTGACCCGGGAACTGAGCCCCATTAAATTACTAGTATACGATCATTTGACTGGCCTAGTGTGGATTTCCGCCTGAGGTTTCTCTCGAATTCACACAGAATTGGACGCGATTAAAGAACTATATCAGTAGGCTTAGGGGTTTTGTCTTGGTTTTTTCCCATAAGTAGGTTTTTGTCAACACTTTATTATCATTATTTTGTATTAATTTTGTGTTTCTTATTATTTTAGGTTTCATTTTTCCCCGCGTTTTTCATTACCCTTTGGGGCCGTCCATAAAGTACGTCACGCTCCAGGGGGGGGGGGGGGGTAAGAAAGGGGGCCCGTTTGTGAATGGGGGGGGGGGGGGGGGGGGCCATGGGTGGGGTACCCCTTTTTTTTTTTTTAAATTTTTTTTCTATTTTTTTTTTTTTTTTGTGACATGGGGAGGGGGGGGGTCAGGCCATGTGTGACGTCACACATTTATTTTTTTTAAATTTTACTTCTAATTTATTTATTTTTTTAAGTGGAATTTAATAGCTTTAAAAAAAATATTGTCACAAATTTTGTGTATCATTTTTTGACATAAAACTAATTCAAATGATACACAAAATTAGTTTTATGTCAAAATAGCATGAAATTAGTATCTCCTGAATGTGTTGTTCACGATTCCTCTCGCTAAAACGCTAGTATGCTGTTGCGAAGCCTTGTTTTATGTATAGCCTTGCTTTCGTATTTCCTTAAGTATTATTATTTCTATGTTGTCCGGTGCATAATTCTTTCATTGTCCTTTTTATTATTTAATCATTTGGTGAGGTCAAGTTTCTCTAATATACTTCTTAACCTGTGTAAAAAGATTGCATAATCGGAAGATTATCTAAAACTCGACCTCACCTATAGTAAATGAAAAAGCAGCAGATAAATGATGTGTATTATATAATTGTCTAGTCTAAAAAAAATATATTTGAAATTTTTGCGTCATAATTCGTAGAGATTTGCTGATGAACGGAAGTGAGTCAAATCACAAAGAGCTACAATCCTTTAACTATAGGAGCATAATATATGAGACATAAAATTATGTACATATTTCATTCAATATGCTTGTATATTTACCTTGAGTTTGCTATTTACGGACTAGATACATGATTTGTAATTTTCAGATGTATTGGCCAATGACGCCGATATTGTAAAACGGGTAGTAAGTTTATCCTGCAAAGATTGAGAAACCTACAAAATATTATTCGGCTCTTTTTTGTGTGTAATATTATCTACTAGATGTGCCTGGATAATGTTTCACATATTCATTTCATTTATATATGTTCTGCACACCAGTTTCAAGATCATTTCTACTTATGACAATTAGTTGTTCACTCTATCCATACATCCATCCATCCATCCATCCATCCATCCCTCCATCCATCCATCCCTCCATCCATCCATCCATTCCTCCATCCATCAACCCATCCATCCATCCATCCATCCATCCATCTGTCAATCTGTCTGGTCTGTCTGGTCTGTCTATCATCTAATCCATCTATCTATATATATCTATTTATCTAACCGCCTGTCTGTATTATTATATATTATATATTCCAGAACTGGAAACTGGTGATCAGAACAGATATAAATGAAATGCATAATATGTGAACATTATCCAGGCACAACTAGTAGATAATATATATATATATAATACAAATGTACCCTGGCTGGACCGTCCGTGTCCACCGCTAATCATCCCATCCCACTGTCTAAAGGGAAAAGATTGCGGATATTTAGGAATTAGGACGTCACGTTTGTTTTTTTGTTTTTTTGTTGTTTTTTTTTTTTGTTTTTTTTTTTTAAATTTAAAATTTTTTAATTTAAAAAAAAATTTTTATTTAAAAAATTTTAAAAACAAAATGATATGTTCACTTTCTTCTCATTTTGGTTCAATGACTTTGATTGTTTATCTTTGTTCTTTCTTCTCATTTGGTTCAATGACTTTGATTGTTTATCTTTGTTCTTTC